TTCACCCTAAGAAACCCCTCTCCACTTGATTTTTGTTTTAAGTGAGACAAAATTGGGCTTCTCAATTTTGGGCCTTTTCTCCACATAGGAAGGGAGCCCAATACCCAACAAATCTCCCCCTCACAACTATGTGGAGATAACCGCCAAACCGGCGATCTCACAGCAAACTTCAAATTTTCCTCTTGGCAATGCTTTAGTCATCATATCAGCACCATTATCATCAGTATGAATTTTTCCAACTCCAACAGCTTAGCATCCAAAGCATCACGTATCCAATGATACCTTACATCAATATGTTTGGACCTAGAATGGAAAGTTGGATTCTTGCCAAGATGGATAGCACTCTGACTATCAAAAAATAAAGGGTATTTGTCCTGCACAAAACCAAGCTCCTGCAAGAATTTCTTCAACCATAGCAACTCCTTGCATGCTTTAGTAATAGCAATGAACTCTGCCTCTGTAGTAGATAATGCTACACACCTCTGTAGCCTTGATTGCCAAGCTATAGCTCCCCCTGCAAAGTTAATCAAATAGCCCGAAGTGGACTTTCTGGAATCGAGATCTCTGCTAGTCAAAGATTCCTTTAGGGGCTTAAAACACTCGTGCATCACCGAAAGAGCCAGATTGAGTTTGCTGTAACTTTCTGCCAATAAGTCACTTTTAATGCTACCAATGTCACAATGATCAGGGTCGATGAACTTCACCAAGGTCCAAGTTAGCTTGTCCGCACCCACTGAAATTGGTTTTCCTAATAATTTATGAAGGCCCTCATATATCTGCAAAAAATAGAAACCAAAATGTAAAGTAGAACCACTGTACTAAAAGACCCTCACTCAATTAAGACACTCAACCCAAAAATGTTTCTGTTGCACAAAACATATATCTTATCTGTTTGTCAAGTCATAACATGTAAAATCACCAAAATCAAACATCACTAATTCTATGAAATCTCATGAGTAACTATTGACCAAAATCACATTAAATATAATTCTGTTTCAATAAACAGATGTTAAAAATATAAAATAATGATTCCAACGAGTGTAAGAAGAATAAATGTGCACCTGGCTTGGCTTTTTAAGCAGAAATTTAAAAAAGAGAAGAAAAAAAAAACCTTAAACAAAAGAGCATCTATTGATGCTACATGATTCTCAAGCTAAGATGGAAATGATAATGTTGTTCCTATTCACAGCCAACAGCCACAGCCAATGAAAACCAAATATTATCTCTGCTGTTTGCACTCATCCAATCTTTTAAATTAAAAATAGAAAATGGCGGGCTCAGCCTCATAATGCAAATAAGCCAACCCCGTAGCCATGCCTAGAGCAATCTGCTGATTGATTGACCAACTAAGTTTCACCCCATTAGAACCAAACAAATGATCATGGAGACTCCTATTTTTCATCAAATCACAAACAAAAAGCTTGAAGGCAAACAAATAGGAATAATATTTTTTTCATGCAGATTATGGCTAAAAAAAGAAGAAATAAAGGAGTTGGATGCAATGTACCTTTTCACAGTCTTTTCCACAGAAACAGTTTCCGCGATATCCCGATATATCTACAGCTCCATCTTTCAGGCACCAAACATGATCTACACGAGTTTGACAAAGATGACACCAGATTTACATATGCAGACAAATACACACTCAAGATGTTCAGGCATGGATGAAATATTAAAGTAAAGATATAGGGTAGCTTACTTACATCTATGTTCACACTGAATGCAAGTTAGGGAATGTCCAACCTCATCTCCATCAATTTTACTTTGGCCACAAATCCCGCAGCGACAAGATGGACAAAACCAGTCACCATCAGGTATTTCCTATAAAGAAGGGGAAAAAAAAGCTGAAGGAACCAACTCAGATCCAAGACCAATTATTGGTATCAATGTACCCAATTTAAGTCATATAATAAGTAAACAAACAAGATAGCACCAAATACAGCATGATTGAGAAAGAAAATGGTTAATATACCTCCAAACCGAGACACGTCTTATGAAAAGAAGATGGACATTTATCACATAAAATAAGTTCACCGCCATAGTGGCAAACAGAACAAATGTAGTCATTCTCAGCTATAGACAATTCACTGAGGGACTTTCCGCTAGTTTCCCTTGTGTTATGATCTTGCATCATTTCTATCTGGCAATCCAAGAGTGATCTACCATCTTCCAAAAAGATACTAGCAGAGGGTCTGCAGGTACTACTGCCACCAACATGATTTTCAAAGCCAACAAAACTGAATATCTTCATGCAACAATTACACTTAATTCCATCACGAGTTATTTTACCTTCACCCAATGTACGGACTGCACGATACCTGCCTTTTTCCTTATAGTAAACCTTCGACCTTGGTAAGATGAGGTTGCTGTCTATCAACCAAGACAGAACATTTATAGGTTTTTGCTGTAAAAAAGAAGGGGCAGGCACCTTTTGCACCCTCTTCTTTGATCTTAGCACCCATAGAGGCAATCCATTGCTTTGGCAGTTAGGTATGTTGGCCTTTGAATCCCTCAAGCTTTTCCGCTTACGAATTGCACTTGATCTACTAGCAGCAGCACCATCCATAGCCTGCAACTCAGCGTCTTTTGGAAGCAACTGGGGTAGCTGATCAACATTTTCCTCATTCATGCCTGAGACATTTAAAGGTTGATTGCCAGACATAGCCCATTTAGGAGTATTTTTTGTGATACAAAATCGGCATGCTGCATGGAGTGTTGGGAATTTCTGATTTTGTGGAGACATGTATATTATTCCCCTTTTCTTATTATTTGGAGGTGGATAGTCAAAAACCCATCCTTCTGCTAACAGATGCTTCTTTGCTTTCGGTATCCATTTTTTTTTATCAACCCGATTCTTATTGGATATATGGGCAGAATAATATTGCAAAACAGCTTGAGGACAAAACTCAGGTTCATCTTCAACTCCATCTTCAACAGGAGAAAATGGCACAGTTGAAATATTTTCTGATGGATTAAGAGGCACCTCTAAAAGATGACAGTCAACTGCAGGATGCTGCATTATACTCTGATCATTTTGGAACTGCAAGGAGTTAGGGTTGTTTTTCATAACCTTACAAACTTCAAGGAGTGAAAGGTAACGTTTATGGCCTGGTTTATCATGATACCTATAGCGTTTAACGCCAAGTTTATTTGTCCACTCAATTTTCCATCCAAGATACACAAGATGTTTTTGCAATCGTTCCATCCAAAATGCCTTAGTTGCACGTTTGGAAGCCAGTGGATATTCAATGACAGCATCGGGGCAGAATTCAACTTCAGAGAACTTCACAGGTATCCAACAGTCGGAAGTTGTCATTTCTTCAAAACAGTTAGCACCTGAAACCACTTCACAAGCACCACCATTGGGGCCAATTTCTTTTAGAAACTCAGGTAAGATCTCTTTGACATGAGTTTCCTTATCAGGCAAGGTCGTATTTAAGTCAACACCAGCCACAGCTTCAGCAGATTCCGGCTCTTGTGCTTCATTTAATAAACTCCCTGGAAGGTTTAAGGCTGAGATAACTTCTTTTACCATCACAGATAAGTAGTCATTAACTACCTCCACCACCATTTTTCTCCACAAGTACTCCACATTACATGTCCACTCTCTAATCATCTCAAATTCCCTCTTTATGCGCACATCATACCAAATTTGCTTAGCTGAAACTGCAACAAACAATTTCCCCTTCTGCTCCTTTTCTTCAACCTCCACCCATTGCATGTGTTCTTGCAAGGACATAGAGGGGTTTCATTACGCCGCAATAATCCTTTACCGTTCCATGCAAGTTCACCCACAAAATTTTTTCACATTATTCTTGCATTTTATAATACACTTGGACTCCCTTAGAAATCGCATGTACTCGAGTCCTTTTTTTTTCTCAAATCATCACAGGATACTAATATTTCCATTCGGTCCGCTTTTGATGATCTTAGTATAAAATTACATTGTCAATATATACATTATTTCTTCTAAAATTACATTCTCATTACAAATATTATTTATTTTAATTTTTTATGAACTTTAATAAATAATTTAATTCCATTCGTTATTCAACACCAACAATCTGTTAATTCAGGAGAAAAAACTGTGTTCCGATAACACATTGTTGAGATACTTTACTTTTATCTGTTTTTTTGTTTTTTTTTTTATAAAAAAAACTTAAATTAAAAACAATAACTATAAGAGAGTGGTAAAAATTCATTCGTTATTTAGATAACTTTCATCTTCAACAACTTATATTATAATCATCCTACAAGAGAACTAGAAATAATATGTTAAAAAGTATTATACTGTTATTAGTATTTCTTAATGAATTAAATAAGGAAATCATCTAACTATTATCTTAACAAATGGTGCTCTTATTATTTAAAGAAATGACTCGTTGAGCATCTATTATTGTTGAACTAAACTAAAAGAAAAATATGATGTTATTCGATACAAAAAACTCCAACCTCCATATGCAGTTGCTAATATGTCAAACCAAACAGCTGTGTAATTTTCTCTCTCTCTTATTCACCCTAAGAAACCCCTCTCCACTTGGTTTTTTTTTTAAGTGAGACAAAATTGGGCTTCTCAATTTTGGGCCTTTACTCCACATAGGAAGGGAGCCCAATACCCAACAAATAATGCCTCTCAAATTCTAACATTAAGGATTTAATAGTTAGTGTACGGGTATGAGCACTCGGCCACCGGATGGCCGACACCCGATCGGCTGCCGAACAGTAGCCGACACCCGTTCGGCTACCGAGAAGCCGAAATCCCAGGCACAGTATACCATGGACTCAAGAATCATCCGTAATCAATAATTAAGGGTTAATCACACCGATAAACCGATTAGAAACGTATTACCTAATACGGTAATCCTGTTGCAAGGCCCAGGGAGGTCAAGGCCCATTATTGTCAGTATAAATAGTTCTTGTCACGAGGTAACGTTACTGTTCATTAATTATTATCGATATTTGTGCTTGTCCTGACTTGAGCATCAAAGTGCCTTTTGCAGGTACTCTCCCTCTCACCGGAATATTCGTTTGGAACTCTCATTCGGCCCTCAAAGAAGAAAGTTATTAGTGTGCCCTTCAGACAGGTACAGTTACCATTATTTTTTTTAAAAGGCAATTATAAAAACAATAAAAAAACTTTTATTATATGCATGGATCATAGTAAATCGTAGCATATGGAAGACTAGAGCATATTAGCATTTATATATATATATAAGGAGGGTTCAAACGACACTGGTGTAATTTTTACTAAATGTTACACCGGTCAATAACTTTATATTAAATGTGAGTTTTGTAAATCTAACCGTTAGATTGAAAGTTCTTTACTCTTAGATCATATATACAAAATTTTATATTAATCCAAGATGATTTGGTACTTCATTCTTATAAAACAAATTTGACGTAATATATTTATTTCAAAATATACTAAAATATGAACACTTTGATTACCTTCAAGTTGTTTTTTAATTTTAACAAAATTTGATATACACATATAATGTGATATGAATTTGCAATCTAACGGTTAGATTGACAAAATTTACATTTAATATAAAGTTATTGAGCGGTGTAACACTTATTAAAATTTACACCAGTGTCGTTTGAACCCTCCTTATATATATATATATATATATTGATATATATGATCTAAGAGATATGAACTTTCAATCTAACGGTTGAATTTTCAAAATTCACATTAATATAAAGTTATTGAGCGGTGTAACACTTAGTAAAAGTTACATCGGTATCATTTGAACCCT